GTCATTCCTAAATCAAAATTGCCATAATAAAAGCACTCATCCTGTTGACAGAATAACAATATCAATATATAACATCAAGGACACTAAATATTAATAAATGGTATAGATTACATATAATTACTGTAACTATACATACAATGACTTGTATTTAATTAGTAAGGGTAGTTTTGTAAAAAGTCATATTTAAAAGAAAAATCAATTTCTATTTTAATCAAGGTTGTAAAAATCGATCGTTGGTCGCTCGGAGGTCGACTGGCGATAAGCGATTAATCAGACTCAGCGGGGATTAATCGGGGACCCTAAATTATTAATAAAATTATTTAAAAAATTAATATTTCCTACAAAATTAAGTATTTGAAAATTTTAAATTTTAATACACAACCGGCACAAATGATATATGTTGACGAATGACCCATATGTCATCCATATGTCAACCATGGACAGCATAAGCAACTACCATGTTGACCAATGACCCGTATGTCATCCATATGTGATACCATCACACCATAAACAACTACCATGTTGATCAATGGCCCATATGTCATCCATGGACACCATAATCAACTAACATGTTGACCAATGACCCGTATTTCATCCATGGACACCATACGCAACTACCATGTTGACCAATGGCCCATATGTCATCCATGGACACCATAATCAACTACCATGTTGATCAATGGCCCATATGTCATCCATGGACACCATAATCAACTACCATGTTGACCAATGACCCGTATTTCATCCATGGACACTATAAGCAACTACCATGTTGACCAATGGCCCATATGTCATCCATATGTCATCCATAGACACCATAATCAACTACCATGTTGACCAATGACCCGTATTTCATCCATGGACACCATAAGCAACTACCATGTTAACCAATGCCCCATATGTCATCCATATGTCAACCATGGACACCATAATCAACTACCATGTTGACCAATGACCCGTATGTCATCCATGGGTGATACCATCACACCATAAGCAACTACCATGTTGACCAATGGCCGATATGTCATCCATGGACACCATAATCAACTACCATGCTGACCAATGACCTGCATGTCATCCATGGACACCATAATCAACTACCATGTTGACCAATGACCCGTATTTCATCCATAGACACCATAAGCAACTACCATGTTGACCAATGGCCCATCTGTCATCCATATGTCATCCATGGACACCATAATCAACTACCATGTTGACCAATGACCCGTATTTCATCCATAGACACCATAAGCAACTACCATGTTGACCAATGGCCCATATGTCATCCATATGTCAACCATGGACACCATAATCAACTACCATGTTGACCAATGACCCGTATGTCATCCATGGGTGATACCATCACACCATAAGCCACTACCATGTCGACCAATGGCCTATATGTCATCCATGGACACCATAAGCCACTATCATATATATTGACATGACCCGTACGTCTTTTGTATATAAGTTTCGGTTTAAACAGAAAAGCATAAAGATGTATAGTTTATTAATGTTTAGTCCTCGTATATAATTTTAAGTTAAAATTATACTATGAACACATCGTTACTCTATGTTCTTTCTTGACGTTATTTATATGTATATACCCTATCTATCAATCTGTAACTACTTTAAATAAATTTGAATTACTAAATATTTAGTGGTAATTAGCACAGTTCGATTTTTTTATTAGCGGAGGTTCAAAGTATTTCACAATTCGTTTCCCTCCAACCTACACACGTTTATGCTGCATATTAGGGTAATTAAGTTTACCGATTAGAAATAGGGTTTACATTTTCTGTAATCATCATCTCCGGCGGCTTATTGATCGAAATCTTTGTTCGTTATACGTTTGTGCACTGACTTTGGCGATATATGTTGTCACTCATCTAAAATTTATATTTATTTAATTTAGTGTTGTCGTGATGATCGATCGTTTTTTGTTCTCTGATGATCTTCATGTAAATTGGTTTTGATTATATTCAATAGTTTGCATGCAAAGTAATGCCTTCATATATAATTTATTTTTATTGTTTGTGTCAGAAAGATGTCGACCTCGAAAGCAAAAGGAGCATCCGGTGTGAAGCCAACTAAATTCATTGCACCACAAGTTATGAAACGCAACATGATTTCTGCTGCAAAATTCTTAAATAGACAGTTACAAGATGAAGAAAGCGACTTCCCAATACCAACAACCACATCCAAAGCACCTATAACATCTACCAACAACACCCTCCTTAGAAAACACATTTAAAACTTCAGAAACTGGAACAATACAATCGTCAACACGAACATCAATAACGAAAACTTCAGAACCTAGATCATCTAGACCATCCTCAACACCAACACCCACTACCACATCATCAACACCTATATATACTACCACAACCTCAAAACCTGCATCTACACTACCATCCTCCACGACTACAATAACTACCACACCCTCCTTAAGTAAAGGAACTATCACATCATCAACATATACATCTATCCCAACACCTATCCCAGAATATACCCCATCAACAGCACCTATCCCAGAATCTACCCTATCACCAACACAACCACCCATGAATGGATCTGTAGTGGAAAGTGTAGAAGGTGAAAACAATTCCTCTGAAGATTGTGGACCAAATGGACGTTTTAATGTTCATGTTTGGAAAAATACGTGAGTTACAAATTCAAATCTTAATTACAACTTTTTTTATGTATTAAATTTTGGTTTACACCTACATATCAATTCATAACTTAACACATCACATGAGTACTTGCAGGCTAATGCCACCAGGCCCTTGTGCACACGTTATTAGTCAGTCCTTTAAACAAAGAGTAGATCCAGAAGGGTACGCTTGGGCACAAGTAAGCAAAGAAATGCGCGAATTATATTGGGAGGAGTTTCAGGTAACTATAAGTCATAAATTGTTGTTTGGTAAATATTTACACTTCAACTTATGTTTATATTGTCAATGTGTAGAAAAAATGTTGTTAGGATGAGACAATAGACTCGCTGGTGAGGCAAGCTTGGGCAAGGAAAGCGGCACAAAGTTATGGTCAATATCTCTTCAACATGAGGAGCCCAAAAAGAAACAAACATGGCTTTAAACCAGCTCATATTCCACAGGAAGTCTGGAACTCCTGGCAATTAAAATGGAATACAGAAGAATACAAGCTAAAATCTGAGCAGAACAAGAAAAATAGGCGTAACGGTGTGGCTGATGGAGTAGCTAAACCCACACATAACGCTGGATTCGCATGTCATTTGAAGATAGCTTCTGATTTGGTAATTTTTTAAATGGTACAGCATATCAATGTTTGCATATTTTTATCTGTATATTTGACTTTTTATATGGTATTTATGCAGAAGAGGAAATTAGGACATGAGCCACTCCATAGTGAATTGTTCCTGTATACACACACTAAGAATCATGATAGAGTCACTTTCACAAATGAAAAAGATAGAAAAATTCATGCAATATTCATTTTAGTTTAAATTAACTTTTATATATTGTAGCTACTCCATAATATCATTCCTAAATTTGATATCTTTTAACTTATAATATTTTTATTTTGTAGGCGGCCTATACAGAAAAACGGGAAGAGTTGGAAGCTGAAGGTGTTGAATTTGAGGAGGACAAGCTATTTTATGCTGTTGTTGGTGGTCATGATAAAAAAAGAAGACTTTATGGATTAGGCTCTTTTGCAAAGGCGGTTCCCAATAGGAATGGTAAAACGGATGTATCTTACATTCCGGAAAAAAATGATGAAATAGAAGAAATGAGGGAGCTTGTTGCTAAACAAAAACATCAAAACAAAGAGCTTAAAGAAATGATGAACGCCCAACAAGAGGAAAACAAAGCAAGGGTCGGGCATCTTGACAAACATCAAACGGCATTGGATCTTAGTAATGTCGTTACAAAACAACAAGAGTAGTAGGTTGATATATGTTTATTGAAGATTATGTATTTTAGAGTAGCAACTTTCTTTTTTCCATGTAATAAATAATTATTTTGTTATTTTATGATATAATGGTTATGAGTTTTTTGTTTTTTTTTTCTGTTTTTCATATATTACTACAAAATTATTTGGATATAATTTATAAATCAATTATCAATCGGTCCATATTGAATCTGGTATATAATATATACACCACTAAAATTGCTAGGGATTCATGACCACGGAATTTGCTAGGAGATCATCAAACGGATTTAGCTAGGGATTCATCACCACGGATTTAGCTAGGGATTCATCACCACAGATTTATCTAGGGATTCATCACCACGGATTTAGCTAGGGATTCATCACCACGGATTTTGCTAGGGATTAACTACAACGGAATTTGTGACGGAAGAACTACCACAAAATTTGTGATGGAAACGTACTACGGAATACCATCTACCACGAATTTCATTCCGTTATCACAATTGCGACGAAATTATTGTTTCCGTTGCAAACCCCTCGCTACGGCGTTTTTAGGGACAAAAATAGGTCGTTGCAAATTCTGTCGCTATTCGTCTTTTGCAACGGAATTTCAGCTTTTCGCAACGGATTCCTTTTGTAGAAAAATCGCGTTTTTCTTGTAGTGAACACACATGTGATAAAATTATAAAACATGTATAATAAATTCATTAATAATTATCATAACATATGAATTAAATTCATTATGTGATATATTTGATGATAGATGTACACCTGGAGCTTTATTGTCCGTTATACAAGGCTTCAATTAAGTACAAAAAAATTGTATCAGACAGATGGGTTTTGGGGGAATATTAAATATGAAGATGACAGAGGTCCCAGGGGCCTTAAGTTGATTTGTTCTTAAGAATTTTAACTCAGAGACAAAGAAGATAGTTCTTCAAAGAGGAGTTATTGATGTCACCAAAGAATCCGTGAAAGAAATTCTTGGATTTCCTTTGGGAAGAAAAAAGTTTTCAAAACTTCCGTTCAGAACAAAAGAAGATAAATGTTATGAAGAATGGACAAACCAATTTCATGACAAGAAGATGATTCGACTTCAAGATATAAAGATGAAGATTGTTTCCACCAACAAGGCAGATATGAATTTCAGGATGAATTTCATAGCTTTGTTGATCAACTCATTGATAGAATCAAGCTCTTCAGAAAAAGCAAACACCAACCCATTGAACTACATAACAAGCAAGACGAAAATAGAAAACATCGACTGTTGTTCTTATCTGATAGACAGTTTGGTTAAAAACAAACAGTCTTTTGATCCATCAAATCCAACAAGCAATTTTAATGGACCATCTGCTTATTTGGTGGTATGTTTAATATGTTTTACACTATTTAAATATCTTTAAAATCATATATGATTTAAATGTCAGATTCTTAAATCATATATGATTAGTAGAATTTGTTACAAAATTAATAATTTTTTTTTGCAGTTGCTTTATCTAGACAGAATCAAATCTGATGTACTTAAGTTTGAAAGAACATGTCCAGTGATCTGCTATTGGACTTCAGAGAAAATAAAGATGAGAGAAACTTTTGAAAAGGATGAGCTTGGTGATTTTGGAATAGGGGATTTCAATGATGAGTATGTTGACGAAGAATTGAATGAGGAGGTAAATTTAATTGCAAAAATTATATGAAAACTCATTATTATTTACTAATATTTTACATGTTACATTATATATATTAATATATATTTTAATTCATTTATTATGTAGGCTTATGAGCAAGTGGTTATAAATAAGTATAGGAAGTTAGATATGCTGATTGAAGATGAAATAAATAAATTCCGAGAAAATATAACCTTGAATCATTTGAAAATTAGCGTTGATGCAATTTTTAAAGATAAGAGTGAAGATAATCAAGAAAAAAATGGGAATGATAATGTTCAATATGACAATAGTGATGATGATGAAGATGCCAATGGAGATGATAATGATCAATCAAAGAAAAAGAATGTAGGAGGGAAAAATATATTGAAGGAGGTAAGTGTATTTAAAAAAATCTATATAAAATCACATGTGATTAAATACGTATCTTAAATTATATGCAGTTGTGGGAAAAAAAATGAGAATCTTAAAGGAGGAGAGGAACAGCAACGAAAAAATAAAGATGAGGATGGTGAAGATATTAAAATAACAGGTAAGTAATATTTTACTGAATCATATATGATTGTTAAAAAGTAACTTTTTACAATCACATGTGATTAACAACGAATTTTTATTATATGCAAATCACATGTTATTAACTACAAATTTTTATTATATGTAGATGGTGAGAAAGATGAAAATGATAATAATGATCAAGGTTTGGATGACATGAATTTGCATGATGAAGTTGTTGAAAATGAAAAATTAAGGTGGTAATAATAAAGAAGAACAAAATGCTTAAGGAGAAGGTAAACAACAATATAGATTAATAAAGTAATCAAATGTAATTATAATTTATGTAAACACATGTGATTACATTCACAAATTATTAATAATTTCTTTTTAATTGTATTTAGCTGTGGATGTGATGAATATAGAAAGGAAGAATGCTAAGAAAGTAGAAGGAATAACTGGTGAACAACTACAAAGAGATGGAGAAGGTAAATATAAATATATTGAAAATACCAATATAATATATTTATACATATAATAATCATATATTATTACATCTCTTTTAATCACATGTGATTGTATTCATATAACAATACAAATATATTTGTACAATATTTGTTTTAATAACATATGATTACTCAATCATATATGATTGTTAAAAAGTAACTTTTTACAATCACATGTGATTAACAACAATTTTTTATTATATGCAAATCACATGTTATTAACTACAAATTTTTATTATATGCAGATGGTGAGAAAGATGAAAATGATAATAATGATCAAGGTTTGGATGACATGAATTTGCATGATGAAGTTGTTGAAAATGAAAAAGGTGGTAATAATAAAGAAGAACAAAATGTTGAAGGAGAAGGTAAACAACAATATAGATTAATAAAGTAATAAAATGTAAATATAATTTATGTAAACACATGTGATTACATTCACAAATTATTAATAATTTCTTTTTAATTGTATTCAGATGTGGAGGGGATGAATATAGAAAGGAATAATGCTAAGAAAGTAGAAGGAATAACTGGTGAACAACCACAAAGAGATGGAGAAGGTAAATATAAATATATTTAATATATTTATACATATAATAATCATATATGATTACATCTCTTTTAATCACATGTGATTATATTCACATAACAATACAAATATATTTGTACAATATTTTTTTTAATAACATATGATTACTCAATCATATATGATTGTTAAAAATAACATTTTACAATCACATGTGATAAACTATAAATTTTTATTATATGCAAATCACATCTGATTAACTACAAATTTTTATTATATGCAGATGGTGAGAAATATGAAAATGATAATAATGATCAAGTTTGTGATTACATGAATTTGCATGATGAAGGTGTTGAAAATAAAAAAGGTGGTGATAATAAAGAACAAAATGCTGAAGGAGTGGGTAAACAACAATATAGATTAATAAAGTAATCACATGTAATTATAATTTATATACGCACATGTGATTTCATTCACAAATTATTAATAATTTCTTCAAACACATGTGATTAATCACATATTTAATTTATATACAGGTTTTGGCAGAAATATAGATGAAGGAGATACAGGAGAAGGTAAAGTTGATGGTAAAGAACATCATGTTGCTGGGAAATTTGAAAGTGGTCATAATGATAAAGATTATGTGACTACATATGTTATAATCACATATGATTACATATGTTATGATCATATGTGCTTAAAATCACATAATCACATATGATTATAATAACATATGATTACATATGTGATTAAAAATGAGTATCACATCTGATTTCTAAATTCATGTCTGATTAATTCACAAAACAGTGTTATTAAATACGTTATAATCACATGTGATTATAAATGTTATTACATATCTTATAATCACATGTGATTATAATCACATATAAATATAATATTTTTGTGTAATTTATTCTTTTAATCATATATGATTAATAATTTTTTTTAATTATATATCAAGTGTAGAGGGGAAAATATGGAGGGGAAAATTGGTGAAAAGAAAGAAGGAAAAAGTATATATTCTATATATATATATATATATATATATATATATATATATATATATATATTATATAATTATGAAAAAATATATTTTTACAATCATATATGATAACTAACATAATTTACTTATATGCAGAACTGATAGGAGAAATGTTGTTCGAGGAGAAGGTGCCAATCATATTTATCTGATAAAAATATTGTATTAAATGATAATTACTTTTTATGTATATGTATTAATTAATTTAAATTCTATTGTATGTAATTTGAAAATTTTAAAAATCTTTTGATGTAATTGATTAAATATTATAAAACTATTCCTTAATAATTGTCTATAAATGTTGATATTTTTTAGTAAAACATATCAATATTTATCTATAATTGCATGTGATTATATGATTATAACCACAAATAATTAAATGATTAAAATCAGTTACAATTATAATCACTTAAGATTACATGTTCAAACGACTATAATAAGCATTTAACTAATCACTAATTAAATATCTACAAAAACTCTTCATTCAACAACATTTCTTCCTATATAATCACAAGTGATTATTGTACCTATATAACTAATCACATGTGATCATAATCGATAAAAAGTATATTGTACCTATATAACTAATCATATGTGATCATAATCAACAAAAAGTATTTTGTTTTACTATAACCATAGCTTTTAACACAAGTGATTACAATACTTAAAAAGACAGTTAATAATGATCAAGGTTTTGATGACATAAATTTGCATGAGTAAGGTGTTGAAAATGAAAAAGGTGGTGATAATGAAGAAGAACAAAATGCTGAAGGAGAAGGTAAACAACAATATAGATTAATAAAGTAGATATGATTATGAAAATAATATATTTTTACAATTATTTATGATAACTTACATATTTTACTTATAATCACAAGTGATTTTTCTACTAACTTATTTTGTTTATGTGATTTTTGAAGAAGATGTGAACAAAACAATAACAAACGTTATTGAAAGTATTTTTGAAAACACATCAGAGTTTAACAGTACCCAAATGTTAAATGATGATGAATTCAATTCTGTTTATGAAAAGACCATGAAAGAATACCAAGATAAAAAAGAAGAGAGTATGATGCCCTCATATGATCTCAACATAAGTCAGTTGACACCTACAGAGATGACGGAGGTAAATATTATTTTGTCTGTTCGTACAATATCATATCTTTATGAATGTAATCACATATGATTTTTATTATTTCTTAAACGTACAATCATATGTGATTAAATATTATTTTGTCTGTTCGTACAATATCATATCTTTATGAATGTAATCACATATGATTTTATTATTTCTTAAACGTACAATCATATGTGATTAAATATTATATTGTCTATTCGTACAATATCATATCTTTATGAATGTGATCACATATGATTTTATTATTTCTTAAACGTCCAATCATATGTGATTGAAACTAATTATCACTTTACTTAAACTTACAATCATATGTGATTAACAGTAATTATTAAAATTCTAAAATTATCATTCTAATATTTTTCTAACGGTTTTAATCATATATGAATTGCAGAATACTGCTGAAGAAAAAAAAGATGAAGGTGAAAAAGAAAATCTGGTGAAAGATGTGCTAGATCCAAAAGCAAAGACCCACCCTACGATAAACATTGTGATTTCAAAAAATCAAAACAAAGAGTCTTTGCCTGATCTTACAGAAAAACAAAATGTAACTCAGGAACCTCGGCAACAAAGAAAGAAAAAACCAGCCGAAGTAAGGAGATCTCCATAAAAAAGAGAGAGCCATTTGCTTGAAAACAAAATTAACAAAATAATAGGAAATGCTTGGTGAATGGTTGTTCCATTTGCAAGGAAGTGTATAGTAAGTTATTAATATTTGATTAGCATTTACAAAAATAAACATTAACATACTTGTTTAATAATTATTAAATCACATGTGATTAAAGATATGAATATAATAATGACATTAACATACATTCTAAACTTTGATTAATCACATGTGATTAAAAAAATATGTTAAATATACTTGTTCAACATTAATCAAATCACATGTGATTATATTTATGTATATAATAATACGAAATAACAATTTTTTTATATATATAGTGATGAGCTGTTATTCACAATAAACAAAAGAGTGGTATTCCGATATGTATTTGAAAGTTTGTTTCCCGGAGAATATCTATTTTTGGATGTCATAGACTCGTGGTCTGAACTATTGAACTACAACGAGAAGGACCGAGACATTAATAATTCTCCATACAGAGTTTTCTTGTCTGTCCAAATTATTGTAAGTAAAACATATATGATTCTATCACTAAATTAATATTATCTATTTAAATTCATATATGATTATACACTAAAATCACAAATGATTTAACATTTAGACAAAGTATATTGAGGATGAGCAACTTCCTAAACCAAAAAAATATGACAAAAAAGAAAAAGATTGACAAAAAGGTAAAAAAAAAAACAAATGGAAAAGGAGGCAAAGGAGAAAGACGAGTATAGATACAATTTATTCAAAAAACTACTTTGTAGATTGGTTCAATGGAGATGAAGAAAGAATAAAATTGAAAGATGTTGAGCTGGTAAGTTATTCAATATCAAATTATTCTTTATATATATTCATAAATATGACAATAAATATTTAAATGCAAATATTCTTCCTTGTTTGCCGGGAAGAACACATGTTTGTCTATATTTTCAACATAAAAAATCCGAACATTGTCATCTTGGATAACAGCATATCAGAAGCAACACTTGAAGGAAAGTACATGCCACTACTTAAAAACCTGGTATGTAAAAAATCAACTGTGATTAAATAAGAAAATCATATAAAATTTTACAAAATATTTTATCAAATTGTCTTAGTCACACATAATAACATAAAATAAATCACATATGAATAAACATTTTAAATCATATCTGATTATACATTTGAATTCAAAAATCATCAAAACATTATTTTATATTTGTAATCACATGTGATTATGCAGATATTAATAATATCTTTTTATGTTTAATTTTATGTGGTTAATTTTTTTTTTTTTAATTTTCAGAAAAAAAATACTTCTTGAGATATCTGCATGAAATAAATCATCCAAGATGTTATGCCCTTCAAGACCCAAATATCAAACCACAAATACTAGATCTGTTATGTAAAACTAAACATAACAAAAGTGACTGGAGAATATTTGTGATGAGATACATGGAAACGTATATGGCTCAAACAAAATACAAAACTGGATTCCCAAAGGAAGGAGCTCAAGATGCACTGCTTGATTTGGTGAGAACCAAATATGCTCATGCATTGATAAATTCTGAAATTAATTTCATGAAGGATGATATCATGGAACTTGCAAATGAGTACCACAAACAAAATAAAGAGAAGAAAGAAAGCGATCAAAAAAATGCTTGTGCAGAAATCCATCAAAGGTTGAGTGATTGCCAATGAGGATAATGGAAGTCAAAGTGGTGAATGAGAAGATGAAGATGTGGGAAGAGGTTTGATGCAAAGGTGAAGATTGAAATACTGAAGTTTGAAAGACTGTCTGTAAATGGATGATTTGATTGTTTGTTCATTTAGACAGTGTTTAGTTTTCAATTAGATGAATGCTTGCTAGTTTATTAAGACAATAATTAGGTTTTAATTAGATAAATGTTTGAACAGATATATATATATATATATATATATATATATATATATATGATATCATGGATTTGTGAAACTTAATATAGATAAGTATTTTAACTGTAAATTAAAGTTTACTGAATGTTTCATTTTAAATCACATATGACTTTGATATTTCTAATAGTTATAAAATGCCTTGTTCTTTGTACAATAAGATGTGATATCGACAATCACATGTGATTATATACGTAATCACATGTGATTAGAAAAATAATCACATGTTATTAGAAAAAATAATCAAGTATGATCATTGTATGGTTTATACTTCAACCACATATGATTATCATGTGATTATTATGTGCAATATATACATACACAAAAAGAAAAATCACATATGATTAAACATGTACACATTATAAAAATAATACTTTTATTATCATGTGTAATATACTTAGATTATCATGTGCAAATATGATATTATAAAATCACATGTGATTATGTATATAAAAACATATGATATTATAAAATCACATGTGATTAAGATCTTTTATTAACAGTTTATACTTATTATAGAAAAAAATTATTGAAACAAATCACATGTGATTATACTAGTAAAAATTTTAGAATCACATATAATTATAAACAGACAACCAAAAAATTGAACAAGGAAAAACATATGATATTATAAAATCACATGTGATTAGATCTTTTATTAACAGTTTATACTTATTATATAAACAACTATTGAAAAAAATCACATGTGATTATACTAGTAAAAATTTTAGAATCACATATAATTATAAACAAACAAACAAAAAATTGAATGAGGAAAAATAAATTTAATCACAAATGATTATCATCTGTTATGAACATTATTTACTTAAAAAATTGAAAACTAATAAGAAGTCTATTCATCAATTCTAAGCATTAAATCTACTTGGACAAGTACGCCTATTGTGTGGTTCTCTTTTACCACATAGTGAGCATTTTCTGGTCTTCGTTTGAGCATTCATAACTGCTTTTTCAACTTCACCAATAAGCCTCTTCTTTCGTGATCCTTTATTATGTTGAACTTCTGGAACAAAAATCTCGACTTCTTCTGGAATAGTAACATTATAAAGTTTTTCAAGGATATTTGAATTTGTAATAGGCTTTTCAATTGAACAATTACTCTTCACCTCATTCAACAAAATTTCTGTTTTTTCAGCCAAAAACGCTAACTTCTGCTTATCATGTGTCACAATGTCTAAAGCAGTTTCAACATTCAAAAATACTTCATTAACCAGTTTGGTAACTTCTTCATCTTCTTCATCAAAACGATCTCTCGACAACTGATAATTCAAAAATATTACATCCTTTGCCCATCGTCTAAGAATATATTGTTCCGGTATTTCATTAAAATTTTTGTCCATCAATACTCTAAAAGCATGTCTACAGAGAATACCAAACCGATTAAAATGTCCACAGGTGCAACTAACTTCTTTTTCATCATATTTTAGTTCCACCTGTAACAATGAAAAATCACATATGATTATACAAATAAAAATCATAGTCTTGTTTAGTCACATGTGATTAACATGTTTTATATACATAAAATAGATCAATCATATATGATTACACACATGAAAACAATATACACACCAGCGACATATGCACATTATCTTTATAATCACATGTGATTGATCAGAACATTATCATATATAAAATATATAAATGATATAAATAAAAAAATAAAATACCTTATATGTTGCTTTTACTTCGTGTTTTTGGTTCTTGTGAATAACTTTATAAAAATTTCCCATCCATCTCCCTCCCCTAAATCTTTAACCTCACAAAACAAACCTCCTTTATAAATCTCCTTTTGAACTTCAAAAAAAACTTTGCTAGTATACACCTTTGTTGCATGTTGTTCTATCATACGTGGTGACCTCCAAGAATACTTTGCTCCCTTGGTTTTACGATCAAGTTCACATTGTGTATAATGTTGTTTTTTAATGGCAACGTCATAATTCATCATGAAATTTAGAAATAAATTTTCAGTTTCTGCATATGTATTGAAAAATGAATTGATACTCTCAGACCTTGATGTTGTCTTCATCAACCCACACCTTGGAAAATCATTGAAATATGCAGGTACCTATGCTTCCTTATTTTCAAAAATATCTTTAAACCATTTCTCATCTTCAAGATTAAATTCTTTCATCAAAAGTTCCCAACTCCTCTCGAAAATATGACACTCGATATACATGTCCAAAACAAGTTTATTGAACCTTTTCTTGAAATTCGTGCTTTTAAGAAATTCCACAGATAGCTGTAACAATCACATGTGATTCAAATATTATAAATTAATATTAAAATATAAAGGTAAAAATCACATGACATAACTTTAAATCCTTTAATCATATGTGATTATAAATATAATCACATATGATTTGGAATAATCATGTGAGTTTATACTCATAATCATTTATGATAGAATAAACATATGATTTAGACAATCACATCTGATTACAATATTGAAACAAAATCACATATGATTTAAATATGTTCACATTAGAAAACAAATCACATATGATTCAAATCTGTTCAAATTGAAAAATCATATGTGATTTAAAAATATATGTTATGTAAAATCACATGTGATTTAAAAAAATGTACCTTTTTTTGGAAGTTTCTTCATGATATGCCACATGCACAATCTATGCTTAGATTGAGAAAAAACAGACTCAACTGCTTGCTTTAATGCTGCATCTTGATCAGTTATAACAAGTAATGGTTGTTTATTTGAATGAGCCTTCATAAACTGCTCAAGAAGCCATTTATACGAATCCACATCCTCCGTGCTTAACAACCCGACTCCAACAGTAACAGATGATTTATGATGATCAATGACAGTGAATGGAACAAACACCAATGAATACCTATTTCATGTAATAATCCAAATAAGATTAAACATATTTATAACATAAAAATAAATAACATAAGAATACTTGATAATAAATGATAAATCACATATGATTATAATCAAAATCACATTACAAATACTTGATGAGAAATTATTCAATCACATATGATTACAATCATCATCACATCAGTATAATTCTTGATAATTGATAAATCATATGTGATTTGAAAAA